CCATGCTCCTTCCTGCAGTCACAGCAATGGCTGAAGGTGCAGAGCTTCCAGGAGAGTCGCTGTTCCTTAACGCTTATCATTTCATTACAGGTGTCCCAGGGAAGGCAGCACTCGGGAGAGCCAGTGTAGCTCTCTGTGACCTTGGCGTGTGCAGTTGTTCTGGTCTTTCCCTCTGCAGGCTCACAAAAGGGTGTAAAGCTGCAGAAAGGGCTCAGGGAATGGCATGTTAATGCACAGATGTCAAAGGCTCCCTGGGCTTAACCACAGTTCTGCATTCACTGAAGCGCATACATGAAGCAAAAGTGCACGTAGCAGTTCCTGTCTTTACAAACCTCTTTGTCTGGCTTTCCTCCCTGGGAAGCTAAGTAACTGCACAGCTTAGCCCAGCCCACAGTATTGCAGAGGGAAGCAGGATCATGAGACACTTCAGCCCCCTCTTCTTCCCCTGGTGCTTTGCAGCCAGACAGCCTCACTCGCCGTATGCATTTGTGAGTGCACTCTAGCTGAAAGCTGTAGTGTGGGCTGGCCCTGGGGCCAAGCTTCATCAAGCCTCAAGGAATTAGCACCACCTGCCCAGAGAAGAAAGGCGTTAAGAAAAAAAAAAAAAAAAAAAAAAGCCACTCTCCAGAGGCAGGTGCTAGTGACTGCACAGACACTGCTGCCTTGACACAGGGGAGGTGATGCCCCTTCCCTGTCAGTGGAGCTGTGGCTGAACTGCCAGGGTGGACCTGCGTTAGTGGAAGGCTGCCCGCTCCTCCTTGCTTAGAGCCCCCCCTCCCCAGCCTTCAGACTCTGCTAGCACAGTCTCAGCAACCCAAATGGCTTCGTAATGAGCAAGAAAGGGCACAAGGAGGTTGCTGGACGAGCCAGAGACGGAATTGCCAGAGCCAGAAGAGCTGAGTAAACCATTGCAGAAGGGGGACAAGAATGAAGAGGGAAGCAGGCCCTTGCTGGAGGACAGCAGATGCTGGGGACTCTCTTCAGTCCCTGCCTCCTCTGCTCTTGCTAGGAGTGGGGGCTGTTTTACTCCCACAGCTACAGCAGTGCAAGCAGGGAGCACCTGTGGAGGTGTCAGTGAAGCCACTAGTCAAACTCATAGTTTTGGTACACAGTGAGCAGTTAAGACTCTGGCTGCCTGCACCACTGGGGCAGATCAGGGGCACCAGAAGTGGGAATGTGCAATGAATTCCCTTAAAAATCATACAAAATCATTTGGCTAATAAATTAAAAAGTCACTTGGTCACCACTGTGGGAAAATGTTGCTGTTCCTCCCTGAGGGAGCTTGGGTTTGACCCCCCAACCCCACCCCCGACACCCCAAATCTTCTGGCTGTGGCCAGAAGCCAGTTCAGCCCGAGCAAGGAGGTTATTGCTTGCGTGTTCCCAGCTGGAAGCGGGCTTCCTCGGAGATCCCATACTGCTCCAGGGGGTCCTGCAGCAAGAGCACAGGCAAGGGCATCAACAAAACGTGGACAAGCAGGCAGATCAGTAGAACTGTCTCTTTATCAGTCCACAGTCCAGCACATAGGCTATGCTGTGAGATGACTACAGGGGCTGGTGCTGATTCCAGCTGTGCGCTGGATTTAGTCCAGCCTAGCACCTGTCTGGGCTGGCTGCTGGTTGCTAGTGCAGAATGTCATGCAGCTCTCAGGAAGGACGCAGCTGAAAACCATTGTTCACACGCTCTACTCATTCCACCCTGGCACAGGTGCTGATGGCTGAGACTCAGCCACCTCTGTCACCTCAAGGTGGCCAGGAGCAGGCCACCTAGCAGAGGTGTGAGCAGCACCTCATCCCAAGCACACCCTGATCTTGCCAGGGCCAGGTCTGCCTGTGAGCTCCTGCAGGGGCTTAGTGGCACTCAGGGCTAGGCCAGGGCAGGCCTGTCTGACTGCAAACCCCAGGCCACTCTGCCCTGCGCTTAGAACGTACAAGGGCTTGAGCCGAGCACTGCGCTCAGAGACAGCCCCACGCATGTGCCCCAGCTGGACGCAGGCTACTCAGCAGAGGAAGACTCTCAGGTTGCTGGGCTCAACCAGCTGTTGAGATCATGGCTTTAAGAACTGACTCACTAAGGGATCTCTTGCCTACACAGAGCAGCAAACTCCCTTGTGTAGGACAGGTGGCAGCAACACTGAGATCACCAGCCACCGCTCCAGGCCAAATCCATAGGTCTGTGCCTAAAAAGCCAACCACAAGGTACTCACCTTCCCTGTCATTTTCTGGATCTCATTCCGGTAGAATATCAAACTTCTCCTCATGAACTCATAGCTGTAAGACAGGAACAGACCATGCAGCAGCAGGATGAGCAGAAAAGGATGTGAGGAAGTTTCAGATGCTATTTACAGCTGAAGGGAAGCTTGCTCGGGAGGAGATAACCACTTTCCTCCCTGAGTTCACCACAAGCCACTCTCAGAATACAAACAGCACAGGGCTGCACGACACAGAGAGCACAACATAGACCTTGCTGTAGTGGCCCAGCCTACCTGGCTCGCTTGAGTGCCTCAATCCACTCCTGACACTGCTCTTCACTGTCACATTCAAAGCAGTATTTCCTCTCCGGCTCCTCAATGAAACCTGCAGGGATAAGGAATAAGAAAGGTCCTGGCAGAGCCACCTGCATTCCATTGTCTCCCTCCACAGCACAAGTCAGACTGTGTCAGGCTGCAGTTAGCATCTCTGTTCACCTAAGATGGCCCGTGAACAAGCTGGTACTCCAGGTCTCCTTCTCATACCACTGTTCCCTCTAGGTTTCCCTAGAGGGCTTGGGCTCATGCTCACTCCCTATCCTCTAAGGGCAAAGGCCCAGCAAAGGCCTAAGCTTGCCACTGCACGCTTAAAAGTCCAGCTCAGGAAGTGGCTTGCTCTGGGCAGCTGTTAGGAAGGCACTGGAAAAAGCAGACATGTTGCTACAGCTACTCAGCTGCCCCAGACCTTCCCCTGCTTGGCTGCTTATACATAAATGCCCTTCCCCATACCGCTATGCTAAAGCGGTATGGGGGACAGGGTGGCCCAGAGGTGCCTTGGATACCCAGAGCACCTCGTACTGTTACAATCCCTTTGCACTCTTCTTGCCTGAAAAAAAGGTGACACCAGCTCCAGAGGCACTTCTGTGCAGCATCTCCCAGGCGGCCTGGAGCAGCTGCCTGCAGCGTATGTCAGTGGAGAGGAAAGAGCAGCTTCTCAAACTGAGAGTGACAGCTGGGAATTGAATCTGGATGAGCATGGCCAGATCCAGGACTGAAATTCCCTCAGCCTCCTTGCAAACAGTCACCTAAGATTTAGTAACCAAATGGAAAATGGCCTCGAGGAAATGATTTTGATATACGCAAAGGGCAGCCATCTGAGGAATTAAAAATCACACTCAGAGAAGGCACTGACCTGTCTTTTTGCTGGAGGCTTATGGGAATTTGGTGGTGCGCACAGTGGAAAGCAAGTCCCTGTGCAACTCCAGTTCTTTACAAAGACAGAATCAGGACATCTAATTAATTACGTTGTTCCCAAAGATCTGCACTGTATTACACAATTCACAGAAATCTAGGCTGCTGCTGAGAAGTAACTGGGTCAGACTGCATCATACACCTCAGGGCTCCCGTATGGGGACGCAACCCGACTCCAAATGCGATCGCTTTTAACACTTTTCTCAGGAAACCTCATTCACTAGGGCTTTTGACAGTCCTAAAGCCCTGGTAATTCCAAGCGTGGTGCCTAGACAGGTTGGTATGTTCAGGCTGTCTCCAGGATCCTTTGGAGACAGTGAGAACGTGGTCCCTCCCGGCTGGAAGAGAAGACAAGGCTCTGCACAGAAAAGCAGCTGTGCCTGACAGCCAGGCCAAAAGATATGGGGATGGCCTTGGAGAAACATCCTGTTATTTTTGCCACATACCTCTTGCACAATGATTAGTTGTTGGATGAAAGGCTGCTTACAAAGGACGACACACCATGAGCCAGCTGGAGTCATGGCTATCAACACAAGGACAAACAGTGTGGCGGGAGGACTGGTGCTAGATTAGTCTGACAGATGGTTTATCTGAGGCTCACTTTTTTTGATAAAAATGTAATAGCACAGAAGCAGCAATCTGTCAATACCAAACCCTCCTAGAGAGGGATTTCCACAAGCACTAAGCCATAGCCAGTGTGTTTTTACAGCTTCTTTCCTCACAGGCAGCTGTGCAAATCACACACACTGACGATTTCAGCCAGCAATGAAATACCACCGTCTCGGGAATGGCAACATCACAGTAACAACTGGCAGCTGACAAAGAGAGGGGCTGAGGAACACTAGGCCCAGTGTAACCAGAGAAACACAGGGAAAAGCGGGAACTAAGTAGCAAAACATTTTCTTTTATATAGTATTTTTAATTGCATAAGGGAAACACAAACGGCATCTATATGCAGAACTCACTGATTGAGAAGACGTTCTCCTCCTCTTTGGTGATTCTGCAGTGCTCCAGCAGCAGAGCTCCGATGGGCTAGAAAAAGACCAGGAGAGAGGGTTTAAACACATGTTGTCCAGCCAGTGCTACAGGCATGGATCACTAGGGGAGAGTGACCAGATTCATTTTAACCCAGGAGGGGTTATAGGGGAAACCTATCAGAGGAACTGTATTTCCAGGAGATCTTTGCATATTCTGCACTAACTGCAGTAAAAAACAGAAAATCAAAACCAAACAAGTTATGCCAGTGTAGCAAGTTCCTGACCTTCAGCTGATGCTGGAATAAACGTGCATACTCACAGCCTCATTCCTTTGCGGAAAAAAAAAGATTTGCTCAACAAACTGTGAAGACAGCTTGAAACATGCGAGATATACATGTATACATATGCTTTGCTCACATAGTTCTGAACCCACAGAATTTTGCTACTGACTTTTAAGTTTCAAAACTTGATGCGGCTTTTAAGGTAATTTAGTCTACAATTAAAGGAACGTTCAGTGTTCTTCTAAGCAACCGATTTGTGTCTGCTGACATGCTTCATTTTACTAGTCTTATTTTTAACTCTCTGTTTCTACTTCCTCAGATTCAGTCTGGGGGTTAGCATGCACTTCTGTGATGCACAGACAGTGACAGAGTTTACTCTCTAGCTCAACAGATCAAATTAAGATGAACTATTTCAGAGGGCACAGAGAAAGACTAACAAAATTCCACATTTAACTTTGTAAGGGCAGGCTCAAAGCTTTGCAAGAGGCTAAGAACAGTGTGTTGATGAACTAGAACAGTTCAGGATAAACAGACAAACGGCAGGTACTATTTGCCACCCAGTGCACGCTGAGCAAGGACATGAGAACCAAGGAGTGATAGAAGCCATAAACAAAAGCAAACCACAAGTGAATTCTTTTGTCCAACCTAAACAAAACGGAAGAGACAAATAAAGCAGCAAAGAAGATACCGAAAAATCTGTTTAAAATATGTATTTCTGGCATGACAGTTTTACTTTAGCACTAATCACCTGCCAAATTACTTTTGATCCATTCAATAACATCCTCTGCCTTCCATCAAAACCCACAAAAATGCTTAAAAATAATAATTGTCAGAACAGAAAACAGCAAAACTAGCTTTAGGTTGCAGTAAAGGAGACAGGCTGTAAGGAGTATCCTCCGACTCTCATAACAGAACGCTCACGTGGGAGTTACAGACGAATCTTTACATCTGTCTGCATGTCTACATACACACATACAAGAATGACTGCTCAGCTTTTGGCCATACCTAGAGTATTGTGATTGCAGCTTCAGTGGAAAAGTGATTAGTGACTGCAGTTCAGTAGGCAGGAGAAAAGAAATATCTTAAAATAAGAGCATAACCATTATCAGGGTTAAATTTTGTAATGGACACAGTCTAAAAATGCCACATACCTCTTGCCAGCATGCACACAGCGTGTTTCTTCACACACGCTAAAAAGATTTCTTTTATACTCATTTTTCAACTAGAGACTCTTTAGCAACAGTTATTAAGGAATTCACTTAAAAACCATAATATCTCAGCAGTGGCAAAGCCAGAAACTGAAGCCAGATGTCTTATCCCTCATTCTACTTTTCTAGACCTAAACAGGGCCTCCGAATGCCAAAAATAATAATATTAACAGAGCATAACCATGCAAGTTTCTCAGGAACAGTGAGCACTGTATGTAAGCAATATTCCTGGTGTAGAAGAGAAGAAACAATGCTAATTCTTTTCCCAGGAGAGCATAATATAAACTTCCGCTCACAGTTTAACACGAAAAGCTGCAGCCCTACAACTAAACATTACAGATTCCATCTTTTGCAGTTTTGGGCAATGGTTATGTTTAAAAGACTCATTCCAGATGCATGCAAACAGTATCTGGATGTGGTTAGATGGCAGTGATTTCTTCTCACCCATAGGAGCTTTTACTGTTTTGATAGAAGAGCAAATGTGGGCTCACTGTTCTGGCTAGGGCAGCCTGTTACTGTACCAATTTACAAAGTACATAAAGTCAATTCACAGAGAAAAAAGCAGATTCCATACCTCCGCTTCATCTGTCCGGAAGTAGAAGAGAAAGTTGACAACAAGCTTCACAAGGCGTTTCTTTAACACTGCAAAGAAAAAGAGCATTCAGGTGGCAAGTCTGTGGGATGAAGCGTGTGAGCCAGCTGGCAACGGAAAGGAAAAGGGAAGCACATTCCATCTTTGCTAGCACCCAGCAACACGCTGATTCAACCAAGTCTAGGGGGAAGCTCCATTTTAATTTAAACCTTTGCCGCAGGAGCATCCAATACTAAATCATGCTTGGCCCACTCAGGAAATGCACCGTCTCGATTTATCCCAGTGGGCTGCAAAAAGATGACAACAGAAGTGTCGCAGATTTCTCTAACACCTTCTGGCTGGACCGATCCCAAAGTACGGTGTCAGCTATATACGTGATACAGCCTCCTGCATGTGGCATCTCAAATCCAGGGAGAGACCCTGCCTGGAACTATCAGCACAAAAGTCACTTCTTGAGGATAAAGCCTGTCAGGTCCCTGCAGGTCCTCAGGAAGACAAAAAGCTCTGGGCAACAGCATTGATTTAACATTTAACAGCAAGGAATATTGCAGCAGTATTTCAGCAAAGAGCCTCTTATTTTGACAGACACACTCAAAGCGTTGGGAGAGAGAAAGGAACGTATCTACTTTCCACCCTGATGCCTCCTGCTTCCCTTAAATCCCTCCACATCTCTCCATCTGCATATCCCTCCAGTTCTCCTATCACCCAGTCCCATTTTCACGGCCTCTGCCAGCCACACTCTGCCCCAGCACGCAGTCCCTCCCCCCCAGCCCGAGCCCCTCCAGTCCAGCACCCAGTCCTGCCCCGATGCTGCACCCCCAGTCCAAGCCCAAGATCTTCATTCCTGTTCCCCAGCCTTATACCCCCGCTCTACCTCCAGTCCAGCCCCCCAGTACTCCCAGTCTGGCCCTTGCCCTTTCCCCCCAGTACTCCCAGTCTGGCCCTTGTCCCTTCTCCCCAGCACTCCCAGTGCGGCCCTTGTCCCTTCCCCACCAGCACTCCCAGTGCGGCCCTTGTCCCTTCCCCACCAGCACTCCCA